TGTGTGTGTGTGTGTGTGTGTGTGTACTCGTATCTGATGAGAGAACGGTGCGCAATTCTGTTGTTTTTTCATTCTCTCAATCTTTTTTAATCTGTTACAAAGGTGAATTGAGGACAAACTGACGAAAAAAAACAAAACAAAACAAAACAAAACAAGCGAAACAAAGGCAAAACATTACGTGAAATGCCACCCACAAAATTTCCATTTTTTATGCTTTGAAATGCAGTAGTTTACATCGTTGAGTACCTAATATTTTCGGAAGCATTATTATTCAAATGAATTTAACCCATTTTCTCGGCAAAATTAGGGATAATGGCTATTAGCATTGTTCGAGTATTTCTTTGTCTCGTTTGTCTGTTTGTTTGCACTTTTGGTAACCGGTTATAAAATCTTCCATAACGTCGAGGGGTGTACGTTTTGCTCTTAGGGTACCTCTACGCTAATAATAGAACCATATAAATCGTTTTTCCTTCTAAAATGCGGCCAATTTGAGACAATCCCTTGATTCTAGATGGTTCCGTCGTATTTCTGCCGGCTTAGTGTCACCTCGGCTGGTTCCTTCGCTTAATCTTGAAGGGGCTGCGACGGTTTGCGGTGAAGCGGTGTTGCGTTATTTTTTGCGCGGTTTTTAGGGAATTTTCATTTTTAGCCTGCGGTATTGTTTTTAGAGAATTTTGTTGTCGCAGTTTTTGAACGAAGTAGGTTCCCGTAATCGATGTCATAAAAAGGGTTTCGGTACGACCTATCGCCTCTTCGCTGTAGAGTCCCTGTCACGCTAGTCAGATCCTGTCGGTTTTAGCATTGCTCAGTATAGAAAAGGCTCACAATTTGCGCATAGAGATAATATTTCTAATGGCAGACTGACTCCTTATTTTGATTAATTTCTATGCGATATTGCAATATTTTTACTTCAATGACCGTTAATTGTCTGTGGTTTTGCGGCTTCAAGACTTCCTTTGAGCATGCGTCTTGCTTTTGACTTCAGACGACACTTCAAACTGGCCGAAGAAAGAGAAAGACTTGGGTCAAATATAAGTAACGCCTGACTGAATTTGACCAATACATCCTTGAACTCTGATCACAAGTTAGAATATTTCAGCTTTAAAATAGTTCGTTCCTGCGCTATATTTTTCGAGCGTCTTTCAGCGATGATTTCCATTCCTTCTGCAGGTGGATACGATAAGCTAGAATACAGGGAGCTTTCGGAAGGTGAATTTACCGAAGGTGCTAACATCAAAAATAACGAAAACATCACCGAAGACGATCTTGTTGTTGTGAAGACTTACGCAAGTGGCGTGAACTACGCCGATGTTTGCATTCGCTGGGGTGTATACGAATCTGCTAAGAGATTTGTTGGATGGCCGATTACTCCTGGATTTGAATTCAGCGGAGAAATTGAAAGCAAAGGCAAAAATGTGACGAAGTTTAAGATCGGCCAAAAAGTCTTCGGCGTGTCGCTATTTGGAGCTTACTCGAAGCGGGTAAGAGTACCTGAGCATCAAATATTTCCACTACCGGAAAAACTCGACAAGAACGAGGCAGCTGGTTTCCTGACTGTGGCTTTGACAGCTTGGTATGGGCTATTTGAACTTGCAAGACCGAGGGGTGAAAGCTGGATACTCATCCACTCTGCCGCTGGAGGGGTGGGTAGTATGCTGGTTCAACTCGCAAAGATCCATGGTTGTCACGTGGTGGGTGTGGTTGGGGGTAGTCATAAAGTCAACATGGCCAAAGAATTGGGTAAGTCAAACCTGGCACTGAATAATAGAAATAGTGCAAGACTGTGAAATACATGTAAACTACAAAGTTTAAGAGGTGCCCCTGACAGCCTTGTTGAGGCAGGTTAGTTTTTCCTCATTGTTTTAAGTCTTTACAGTAACAGTATGGGGTGACATTGCATTATTAATTAACACAGTATTTCAGCATTTTCTTTCAAAGATGATAATTCTCTAGATAATTTCCTTCCTTTGGGGGGGGGTTCTAACGATGTGAACTCGCCTGCCAAACCAAAATTCCTTAGATCATATGATACTACTCAAATTGAAGTATTTAAAATTTCCCCATCTTGAATTTTTTTTTTTTGAGCACTTTAATGGGCTCTAGGTACAAAAAGTGTTTTCTGAATCAAAGTTTGGACCCCCCCTCCTCCCCCGAAAAAAAAAAAACAAAAAATAAAGGATCTTCCTTTGCTTTCCTCTTGCTGATTGATTGTTTTTCAGGGTAATAACTAACTTTGTGTTGAGTGTAGCCTTATTTTTTTTCTACAGAGAAGGAAAAAGAACTCATTCACACAATTGCTGTGTTTTACCCCAGATAAGAACTTGTTATATATGCCACTCTATTATGTAATACTTTACTTACCATTACTTTGTTTTTGTTATGGCTAGGCTGTGATCATGTGATAGACAAATCTAAAGAAAACATATGGGAAGCCTCCAAATACTATGTTCCTAAAGGATTCCAAGTTGTCTTTGATGCTAATGGAGTGGAGACTTTACTAGAGAGCTATAATCACTTAGCCCCCGGTGGAAAATTAGTTGTTTATGGTATGTGTTTTCTCTCAAAGGAGTGGTATCTTTGCACAGCTTCAATTTCACTGTGAGAGGGTGCACTTCTGTAACATCTAAATCTGTGCATTCAAAAGGGTTTACATTTAGTACCCTTAAGATATCCAGTTTTCACATGAGGCATTGCCATGAGGGATTTTTCGAACAAGTGCCACACCTGGTCTGCTGCTTTATTTGGGGTTAGATATTAGCAAGAGCCACAAACCATAAATATTGAGAATCCACCAGAAGTTGCATAATTTTGTATTTTGTTTTATTTTCCTAATGGAACCTTTGGATAAACCTTGTATAATTTTTCATTGTTTTTACTGGGGAAAAACAACCAACTAGGCATATTTTGAATATTTTGATTTTTGGAAAAAGCAAAGTGCAATAGAACTTTTTGATACAAATTTCAAGAAAGTTTCATCAAAAGGGTCCTTAAGGACATAAAAGTTTGCAACTGTCAGAGGATTCTTGATATTTCTAGTCAGTGGCTCTTACCTTTTTGACCACAGCTTGTGAAAGAATTCTTCATAATTAAGTACTAGCACTAGGACTGTTGCAGCAATTCTCAAGCTAGGGCTCATTGACTTTTTTCTCCCAAATGCAGCCCTTATATTTGAGGAAGGAGCTTATTAAGGATCACACGTGTGCAAGTAGATACAGAATGATGTATTCTTATAATTGGCCAAGACTCGGAACTTTCACAGTATTCTCTTTTCAGCCATTGATATTAATGTGTGCTGTCAAGATGTCAAACAAACTTGACAAGATGTTGTTCAAAATCCTCTAACCCCCATGAGTGACCAAGACAGAATTTCTCCTTACCTCGTCAATACAATATCAAGCGGCCAACTGATGAGAATAAAGAAAAATGTCAACTGTGGAATTATTAGTCAATCCAATACCAAATTCTCCAAACTAACATCATAAGAATTGAGTGGCAGACAGTAAGGAGAATTAGCACTGAGATCTTGGCAGTGAAAAGGTTAAATAATCTGTGGTAAGCTGGCATTACTTCCACGGGGAGTGGCACAACTCCTCATAATATCCTTTCTTGCTACGGAAATTGAGATAAGCTCTGTACACGTGAACCACTGAACCCTTTCTCTCCCAAGATTTTCATAGTAATTCTCTTCACTGTCTGCTACACAATTCTTATGATGCAAGTTTGGAGAATTTGGTATTGAATCAACCACTAATCCCCTAATTGATATCTTTCTTTATTCTCATCACTTGTCTGTTTAATATTGTATTGATATTGTAAGGAGAAATTCTGTCTTGATCAATCATGGTATACTCAAATGCGGACGTTGCCTTTACAACTTCACAGGTTTTCACACAATGCTTCCCAAATCCAGCGATACTGGTGCTGGGTACATCAGCATATGGCAGTGGATAAAAATAGGAATCAACTACTGGTACACTCCTAAATTTGATCCTTTGAAGGTAAAAATTCTCATGCTCTGCTATAACATTTTAATTTCAATTTTTATCAAACATATTGTAACTACAAGGGACTCTGTGGAGTTTTAGTCTACTTGGATGATTGAAAATGTAGAGAGTAAAACTAATGCTTGATTTACATTAGGACTGATTGACAACTGAATGACTCACTAATGGACTGACTAACTGCCAGACTGACTGCCTGACAGAAAGACAGATTGACTGGCTGACAGATTGACTGGCTGACAGATTGACTGACTGACTGACTGACTGACAGACAACTAACTGACTGTCACGCACTTGAGCGATTAACTTATCGAGTAACTGATTGATTCACAGGCTGGCTGGTTGATTGACTAAGTGACTGACAACTAAATGACTGACCGGCTTGACTGACTGGCTTGACTGACTGGCAACCCACTGAATATTTGCCTGACAGACTGGCTCACTGATTTACAGAATGACAACTGCCTGAATACCGAGTAGACTGTTTGACTAAATAACTGACTTAGAATTAATGGACTGGCTTACTGATTCACACGCTCATTTACTTCCTAACTGATTGCGCATGTATTCTTTAATCTCATTAGATGACTAGTGAAAATAAAAGTATCATGGCATTCAATCTGAGCTTTCTCTTTGATCGACGTGACATTTTGGAAGAAAGCATGGCACAACTTCTGTACTGGGTAAAGCAAGGCACTCTTAAAGTTAGCAAAGTGACTCCATATCCTCTGAAACAAGTGGCTAAAGCACATAGTGATTTGGAATCAGGGAAAACCATTGGCAAGCTTGTACTTACCATGGATGAATGACTCTTCTCAAAATAATTATTTTGTGAAAAAATTTACTAGAGGGGAACATAATTTTCATAGTAGTGTAAGAGGGAAAAGAGATGGTATAGAGCTAGTTTATGCATATATTAGGGAAGATGATTAAGAAAAACTGGTGGTTGTATAGGAATCAATAAAGTCCATTTTCTCTTGTGACACTAGAACTGAGGCCTGTTTTTTCTTGTTTAATTACTGCTTTTCAGCTAGTAGTTATAATTGGTCATCCTTGTTGTGAAGGGGTTACAATAATATTTTTCTCTTGGGATACTAGTACTGAGGCCTGTTTTCAATTGCTTAACAACTGCTTTTCAGCTAATAGTGATGATTAGTCACTCCTGGTTGTAAAGGGATTACAATGACATTTTTCCCTTTGAAAAACACCAATCTTAAATGAAACCTTGAGGGTCACTCAATTAGGGGGTGCTCGGTGAGATGGTTAAAATATGAATTTCTTGTGTCAAGGTCTTTGTAATTTGAAATGTCATAGTTCTTCAAATTCAAGATATCATTTTTAATTAGAGGTTTATTATGGTTTTTTAAGGGAATTCGTTATCTAATTGTCATCAAGATTTATAGACAGAGTTATCCATTACAGAGATATCTAATGTGCCAATGGTATTACAAGACTGCATTTGCCTGGATAGAGTTTCAATCCTTGCTTTTAATTTAGTAATCATGATTACCAGTAATCAAACATTCTGTCAGTCAATTCTGAATTGTTACTGCTGTTTTAATGTCTCCAGATAAAAGATATGTACATAGTGATAGAGTTGGTCTTCACACAGAGCTCTTGGAACAAAAAAATAAATTCCATGTAATTCTTGTTTACACCTACTGATTTATTTGTGACAATGAAAGGGTGCTGACCCATATTACTTTTGATGCAAACTCAAATGCTTCTTGATTTACAGAACAAATTACAAGAAAATTTGAGTGAAAAGTGTATAGCACTCGGTCAGAAGTCACTCAAGAAGGATTAATTTTATTCCCATGCACCCCTATATTTCACTTAAGCTTACAATTCCTTGTCAATGTTAAGGCTGTATGTAAAGTGGAATTGACTGCCAATTCCATTCCATTTATTTTTAATTTGGAAAGCATTACTGCCATTTAAGTTATCAATTTTTATTAATGTAGAGAATAAATAAATGTTACATTTGATGTCAATTATAGATAAAGATAATGTTTGAATATTTTTTTCAATTTTTTTTTTTTTACAGGTAGGTGCTTAACTTTTCCTACCTACAGGGTGGGTGGTTCTTCAAGGAGTATACTCATTCAGGCTTTGGCACAATCAAATAAATACTTTCTAAAAGAGACTATTGAGTAAAAGAAAAAAATTAATTAACTCACTAGTTTGATGAACCAAGTATAACATTGTCGATGATATTAACATGCTCTTAAGTAAGGTTGCCCTCTTTTCTAGCCATTATGGTTATTAAAGGTAGCCATGCCCTGTGTATTTCTTGTAATAATTAGGTTACACTAAAACTGTAAATGTAAGGTACAAATAAAGCTGTTGTGGTAGAAATAAAGCAGTTGTGGTACAAAATAAATAAAATAAAGCTGTTGTGGTACAAATAAAGCTAATATGGTACAAATAAAGCTGTCATGGTTCAAACAGAGCTAATGTGGTCATATGGTGCAAGTCCACTTAATGATTTATTATCTTTGCTAAATGACATGTTTTTGGTTTTCGCTTGAAGTTTTGGAAATTTCAAAAATTTCAGTCATCAGTTGGCCATTTGTTGACCAACAGTTGGCTACTTGTTGGATGACAGTTGGTTTATTGTCGGCAGACAGTGAGCCATTTTTGACTGCTGAAATGTGCTTGGTTTGTGGACTGCTGTTGCATGTCAACAAGACTGACAAGCTTAAAACTGTTTCAACTACACTACTTTTGTATAGTGGAATTGGTCTGACAGTAACCTGTCAGCCAACATCTTACCAACAGTGCACTGGAGATGCACTGTTCCAAAATCACTGAAGTTCTAAATTTACTAAATTAATATTATTAGTTTAAGACTTCCCTAACATCCAGGTGTATACCTCATGATGTACAGTGTATAATTTTACAGGAGATGTCAAAATAACAGACTTATTTTCATTATTCAAAAATACTTCATTCAATGGAATGGATAATAGTTTACAGTATCTGCATAAAAATAAACTTCTATCCATTTTGCTTCATTGAATAAGTCAATAAATACATAATATTCCTTGGTTTACAATATCCAATCAAAGAAAGCATCTCTATAATTTTTTGGACAAGTTTGTTTGTACATCTTTTCCTCAAGTTTGGTGTATTTAATAATATATGGATTTGTTGCAAGTATGTTTAACTAAAAGGTTTTTCATAGAGAGATTTGAAGTGCAATTCTGCAAGTTGCAAGAGGTTAAGAATCTACCTTTTACTGTCTGACCCTTAATTGCCATTTTTGCATCAGCTAATGTTGTGATAAGGAAACTTGCCTACATTTTTCTATTTGGTTCTGGGTCACTGACCTATTGGTACCTCCCCAGTAAACTTGCCTACATTTTTCTATTTGGTTCTGGGTCACTGACCTATTGGTACCTCCCCAGTAAACTTGCCTACATTGGCAAGTCGGCATCATGTTGGCAAAGTGACCATGCTGAGGTATGACAATTATTGTTTCCCTCATTATTGTTTCCCTTATTATTATTGTTTCTGCTGAATTTTCTTTAAGGATTCAAGAAAGTGCACAAAAGCACACGCATGCAGGTAAGCACTGGTAAATTTTGTCATTCATTTTTGCAATAAATGTGGCCTCAAATCCATCTAAAAGCAAGTCTTACTTATTTCCAAACTTCTACCACTACCCAGAGGCTGGTGCTAACAAACAACATAGACACTGAACTGTCATGGCAGTCATGAGAGCCCTGACCACCTAATGAAAATAAAAAAAAAATCAGAGTTGAAAGTGAAGTAAAGGCAAGACAAAAACTAAAGCCTCGAAATTTTTCCAATTCCACTTTTGAAATCTTGATTTATGATCTGGTAAGAGTTAATTGTTTGAGTATCCAATATCAAAGGGAATATAAACCAAGGAAAATGCTAGAGTGCTACTCAAACGTAAGTTACTACCTCTCCTCTCGTTTCTCGTGAGACGCATCTCATTTCCCTCTACAGACTGTAGTTCTCAGGCTTTAAGTATATGCAATTCTAACACTCTACTTTCTCCAGATCATAACCAAAAGAACCAAATATGTTGGCATTATTTCACTTTCAATTCTGTAAGTTTGATTTTGGCTTGATTGTAAAATTAACTTTCTATAAACTCCATTTGTTCCTCGTTATCTTCATTCATTTGTGTAAGTTCAGAGTATCCAGCTGCCCAAGTCTGCTTGTTACCAGAAGAAAAGATGCAGTAAAATATGGCTCCAGTGAAGTAGATAAGTCCCCCAAGATAGAATACGATTCTCCATTCAGATGCATGTGACTACAACGAAAAAAGTTATGTAATTAATACATCATCATGGGTTACTGATCGGATAACGGATAACAGATAATCTTTATTTGTACTCGCATTCATACTTGCTCTAAGCAAAAGAGTTACAAAATTAAAAGAAATTATTAGAAATAAAATTGGAGTACTAGCAGCCTGGAATAACCAATGAGGGCTAGCGGAGCCAGGCAGCTAGTTAACATTAGCATTAAATAAAATTAAAATACAGGTCAGCAAGAGGATTGAAACACAAATGCACACACACACACACAGACAAGAAAAAGGAAATGGAATTTATAAGATATGAAGGATGTCTAAATTAGTTGGAGTTATTTATGAATACTAAACATTAACATAAGAAGAGCGCAATGTCTATGGCAACTAGTAACAGCTATATAATTATAAACTACAAAATAAAGAACTACTTAAAAAGGTTACAGAAATTAACAGGTGACTACATTACAGTAAATTGGAAAAGAATTAACACTGCTAATAAGTACATATTAAGTTGCTAATAAGTATATAAGTTGCTAATAAGTACATATTAAATAGCTAATAGTCTTTGACTAGATCACATTTTACTTACTCCTTGAAGTTTGAGATTGAGAACTAGGTTTTCAAATTTTCACTTATTGAGTAATCCCTACTTTGGGGCCCTTAAACCTTAAATTAAATATTCCAAAATTTGTTCTTACTTTAGGTAAAGAATAGGACAAATTCAAGGCACTTAACTATTGTAAAATTTATACATGATTTATAACAAGATATTTTATGATATTATAATATTCATAATATAAATTTATAATATGATACAGTGTATCATTAACTAGCAAATGAGCACTCGGAGATAACAGCAATAGCTCTGTTTTTTTTCCATGTTCAAAGTGTTCACATTCAAGCTCTCAGCTTTTTATTTTGGAGCTCATTCCCCCAACTGCCACACTGCACCACAGTTTCTTTAGAAACTAATACCCCCTTTACTCATTCCCACATTGTTTGCGAATAAATGAAAATCATTTATGTGAACTGCAGTGAGATAAATGAATATGAGAACAATCTTCACAGTTATGAACACTATTTGAGCAAGCTCCATTGTATGTTAAAGGTTTCTTTAGGTTCTGTGTACCAATGACTGCTGTTCAACAGCACTCCAATCATGTGGAACCATAAAAATTAAAGTATGATTAGGGAATTTATCTTGACTATTCATTTATTTATCTGCAAAATTGAGCAGTCAGGGCCTAATCCCAGTAATGTCATTATTTTCACTTATAATTTAATTTTGTTGGCTTAAAAACAATTCTTACCTGTTAACTATTCTAAAAGCAAAAGGCAAGGAAAACATGTCGAGTAAAAAATTAATTAATGTTCGCCACGGACCATACCTGGTGCTGTACAATGACTCCAGTTAGTAAAGGGCTGATGATTCCTGGCAGCGTGGCCACTGTGTTGGTGATGCCAATCAAAATACCAGCAAAAGGTGGTGCAATGTCCAGGTGATTGACATAAAAGCCACTAAATGCAAATCCTCCTCCACCCACTGCAAGTGTCAGGCAAACCACAGCTACCAACCAGTTGGTGGTGTAACCAGCTATGATGATGCATATACCTTGACAGGTAAAACCTAAACAAGAAGAGCTTAATAGCTCAAAATATTGACCTGAAGTTGAGCTCGTGACTTTACCCCTCACACCCTAACATCAGAATGCATATTCTCCATACTGTTCTCTATATATTTCCTTAAGTGCTGGAAAGGAGAATTTGTTTAAAAATCAAGAGTTTCTTTAGCTGGTGATGATGTTCTTTGTTCGTGTGACCTCCATGTGAGAATTAGAGGTGACATTCAGGGCTTGACACCAACAGTAGCCAACTAGCCACAGACTATTACAGCTAGTAGAAATTCAGTTTTGGCTCATGGTTTTCAATTTCCATTAGCCAATTTGGCTAGTAAACAAACTGAAATTGTTGTAACATCTAAGTTGTCACCAGCCACTCGGCTAGTAAGTTGAAAAGTTAGTGTTGAGTCCTGGGTGTTGTAAGGAGAAATTAAGTCCTGATCACTCTTAGAGGTCAATGAATTAAAAAAGGGCTATGGTCAGGAGTCTCAATCCCAAAGATGTACTACATTAAAAGTTCTTCATTTTACACACTTAGGTACTGTTAATATCCTTGGATAAGCACCTGGATGCTTATCTAAAATTTCCATGAGAAGAAAGAGCTTGACTGTATAGAAAGAGGATCTTCATTAACCTGTTAACTCCAACTTATTAAGTGACCGAGACAGAATTTCTCCTTACAATATCAATACGATATCAAGCAGACATTAGTGATGAGAATAAAGAAACATATCAGTTAGAGAATTAATGGTTGATCCAATACAAAATTCTCCCAACTATCATTATAGGAATTGTTTAGCAGACAGCAAGGAGAATTACTCGGACATGAAATCTAGGGAGGTTCCACTGAAAAAACTATCGGCACTGATTCCGCTGTTGTTGAAGTTTAAAAAGTTATAAATAGAGTGGCTATAGAACAAGGTTTTTTCTTTGTTTCCCTATTATTTGAGATAGTGAGGGGCACTTATTCAGGAGGGGTCCTTGTTTGATATTCTGGCCTTAGTAGGGAGTGAGAGGTTTTTTGAGGGAATACTATGCATGACAGCTAGTATTCCCTGTTGGTTCTCCTGCATATGGTACAGAGACTTACAAGGATTCAATTTTAAGACAAGGGTAGTGATGTCAACTTACCAAATGAATTAAACAGTTTGCGTACAACTGTTGTACTTAATATTTGTTTTCTTCTTAAACAATCTGCAATGTGTCCTCCTGTTTGAATTGTTATTGCCATTACAAGATAGGGCAGGGCAGACACAAATCCTGCCTGTAAAAAAAAAGGAATATTAAATCAATATGTCATCAAATCAACTTTCTTTCATTCAAGATATATGCTATGCAATTGTCAGAAACAGTGTGCTCATGTCACACTTATGAGCTGTTTTTGTTCACTTATTAAACCTTGATTCCCATGAGTGACCAAGAGAAAATTTCTTCTTACAATCAATACAATATCAACCAGACATTAATAAGGAGAATAAAGAAACTCATTAAATCAGGGTATTATTTATTGGTCCAATACCAAATTCTCCAAACTAAGAATTG